CCCCCCCCCCCACCCTCCATTCAGAGCTCCCACCTTCTCACCGTGGACAAAGTACTCGACAGAAACCCCCTTCCAGAAGGTTTTTTCTTGCTAATGAACAGAAACTACACCTAGTTAGCGCACACACACGCACACACTCAAACAGACACACACACACGCACACACACACACGTCTGCACCTGATGAATTGCACAGAGAGCTGGGAACCCCCCCACTGATGCCATTAACCTTCTGGATCTGAGGACCATGAAGCCTCCACCTTGCCGCCCTCCGCCTCTCAGAGCGACTCCCACCCTCATACATCATATCACACAGCCACCATCAGTCACAGCACACGGCCGTGGAGGGGGGGGGGGCATAAAGAGGGGGCAGGCCTGAGTGAGAAGATGGAAATGGAGGAGGAGGGTTAGGAGCCAGAGGTGGCATTAATGGTTGGTTTTGTTGCTTTTAAGAAGGAAAGAAAAAAAAAACACATTGCTGTGGTTTTCAGAGATCATCTGTTGAGTTTAAAGGTGTCGTTTGAGCTTTAGGGAACCACTTCTGACTGTGGGATCAGCAGAGGTCTAATCCTAACCAGCCCAAAGGTTATCCAGCAGACCACAGCCGGTCAGATCACATCCATCTGCTGAGAAGAGCAGTAAGACCCCTCCTACTGGCATTGGAGAGTTATTAATGTCTCCATGGGATGATCGTTTTTTTAAATTAAGCTACAAACCCTATGATTTTTTTTTAATTAACCCAATTCTTTTCCTTTTATATTAAAAAGAAATGTGTTATTGATGCCTCGGAGTTACCACGAGTGCATATGTAGCAGATGTTTGAAGACAGAAAACGCAGTTAATTCCAAACACAGAGAGGACAGAGTGACAGCCTCCCTGAACAAAGGAAAGCTACTGGGGGTCTACAGTAGGGTGCATTTTTAATTGGCTCCCAGTTCATTCTGACCAACCTTTCTAAAGTGCTTGGCATATAAACAGACCGTACCAACCAGGAGGCCGGTATTTCTTAGACAGACTTAGACGACGCCCACTTTTCTCCAGGTAAAGTGGATATTTTTGCCCAGAGCGAGGTGGCGGCTAACGAGCTTTCAGCCCGACAGCGTTTGCAAAAAAACGCACACTCAGAAGGACAAACTGCTCTAAAACACAGCCTC